TTTTAGTCGAATAATTAAATAAACAATTTTAATAAAACGAAATCTTCAATTCTTTATGGTTTATAAATTATTTCTTCTCAATCATCTTCAATTTTCAGTTCTTTATGGTTTATAAATTTTTTCTCAGTTTTTTTAAATTTCTTTATAAGTGTAGGAATGTAATTGTTCTATTTGAGGTATTATACAATTTTGATTTCTTTTGAAATCAAAAATTTATTACGCTTGATTTATGAAAAATTATTTAATAAAAAATGTGTATATGTATGCAATGATAAAAATAATATTGCTGATTGTTATGTATTGTCAAAATTTTGAATGAAAAATACAAACTATATATTTAAAAACTTGTCTCACAATAACTGTTGTGATAAATGAAAAAAATTAGTAGAAAATATTTGGTATAATTGCAGTAAATTGTTTTACTATACTTTTATTTATATAATTTTCTATGACAACTCATTCCTGTTAAATATGTTGCATGAAATTGCGAGAAAAGGCACGAATCTGAAACTAATTAATTTTTAGTAATTTTTAGTAAATTGATATGAAATATATTGTGAATGTACTATATTTATGTCACTAGGATTTGTTAGTAAAGTACCTAGATGTCAATATATAAATTTGGTTAAATTTGAATAAAATATTTTTAATAAGTAATTAAATGTTATGATATAATACATTTAAGTATTTTATATTGTCAATTTTATGTTCGATTAATTATTCAAATAAAAATAAATAAATTTTTATATATATAAGGAATAATACCGTAGTTATTATTATTATAAATGTGTAAAAATATATTGTAAAGATAAAGCTTAAAAATTATTATTAGGAATATTAAATATATAATTTACAATGCTTATATTTATTATTTAATATAAATTATAAATTTTCAAAATGAAATATAATTTGTTGTATATTATTTGCATTATATTTTTATTAAAATGTTCTATATTTTTGAATTATAGAAAAACGAATTACCGATATTATAGCTTGCAATCTTTCCGGCACGATTTAGGCGGGAAGATTACTTCAAGAATTATTATATGTGGTTAATGTTGTATATAAGAAAAATAAATCTATATAAAGTTTACATTTGAAAATATTTGTGAAAATAAATTTGAAAAAATGCCACCAAAAATATCAAGAGATTATACAAAAGATAGGGGTAAATATATTATGTTTAATTATAATGATATTATATATAACCACTATGATTTAAATTGTAATTTTAATGTACTTAATATAATGAATTATTTAATTTTATTTATTTTATTAGAAAAGTTAAAAACTTTTTTGACGGAATTTGTAATAGTGGATGATATAACTGATGAAAAAACATTTAAATACAGAAAACAACTCACTAATATTGCTCATCGTGAACAAGTAGATTTAACAATAGAATTAGATGATGTACATGAATTTGATGATGAATTAGCAATGTGTATTGTAAATAATACTAGAAGATATGTCAATTTACTTTTGGAGGTAAATTATGTTTATATTATATGTAATATTACAAAAATATTAACATATTTATAGTTTAAATGTTTTCTTTTTTATTCCAATATCATTTCATTTCTATTTTAGCTGGCTATAAATGGCTATAAAGATAAAAAAATTAAGATAAAAACTATTACATTATTTTAAATAATATTTGCAAAAATTTGATATTATGTTCTTCATATTATTAGCATATTAATATAACTTTCGTTACTTCTTGTTATATTTTATTTTATTAAATTAATGCTTGATAATTGTATTATTTTATCAATTGCATTTCTTGCATATAAATAATACTTGTAATTTATATAAAAATTTTAAACATAAAATTTTCTTTTTAAATCAAAGATATTTATTAAATTTGTATAATTTTTAATCAAAGAATTCAAATTTTAATTAAAATTTTGCATTCTTTCCAATAGACTATAAATGTGTTAATTTTATCTTATATTTATTTTTAATATATATATATATATATATATATTATAGTTATATTTATTTCTTTAATATATAAATATAATAAAGTAAATTTTTATTTATTATATTGATTGAAATAATTGATATTTACATTTATTTTTATTTAGCTTATTCAAGAAATGTTACCTGATTTTAAAGAAAGACATATACCTCCAAAAGATGCTCTGGATGTATACATTGAACATAGATTATTAATGGAGAGTCGTAATAGACATCTTGGAGAACAACGTGATCCAAGAAATAAATATGCTCCGGAACTTATGAGACGCTTGTATATGATTTTAATATTTTAATTTTTGTTTTCTTATGCAAATATAAATTTATATATATAATACAAATAAATTTTATGAATATTTCAGTGAAGTATATTTCAAAGATTTTGATACAACAAAAGCATATTCCGTGAGAGATATAAAAGCTGATAAAATAGGAAAATTAATTACGGTGCGGGGTATAGTAACAAGAAGTAGTGATGTAATGCCTTTGCTTGTTGTTGCTACATATACATGTGATCAATGTGGTGCTGAAACATTCCAACCAGTAAGAAATGAATATTTTCATATACAATGGATTGAAAATCTAATTGAATTAAAATTTTTCAGGTTCAATCTCTTAAATATATGCCATTACGAGAATGTCCCAGTGATGATTGTCGTATAAATAAATCTGGTGGTGTATTAGATATGCAAACAAGAGGATCAAAATTTGTGAAATTTCAAGAAATAAAAATACAAGAACATGTATGTACAAGAATATTATATATATATATATATATAAATTTTTTATATTAATGCTTAATAATAACTTCCTTATTTATAATAACATTATTTTAATAATTTTAAGAGTGATCAAGTTCCTGTAGGTCATATTCCAAGAGCATTGACAATATATTGTAGAGGTGAGACAACAAGAAAATGTTTACCTGGAGATCATGTACTTATTACGGGTATTTTCTTACCTATTATAAAATCTGGTTTTAATGCTCGAGTGGGTGCAGCTCTTTTGAATGAAACATATTTAGATGCACATGTATGAAATTGATCATTTTAATAAATTAATATAATACATTATTAATATTTAATACATAAATAATCATATATATTTTGTAGAGGATTGTTCGTCTTATTAATTCGCAAAGCTCTGATGATAACGATACGATATTAAAAGATGAGGAATTATCTTTATTTATGGAGGATGATTTTTATGGTAAACTAGCTCGTTCTATCGCTCCAGAAATATATGGACTTGAAGATGTTAAAAAAGCACTCTTGTTACTCTTAGTTGGTGGTACAGATAAACACAAAGATGATATTAAAATTAGAGGTTTGTTTTATATATTTGTGAATATTATTTATATCTATATATATATTTTTTTAACTTTATTATTTTTATTATTTGCAGGTAACATTAATATTTGTTTAATGGGTGATCCTGGAGTTGCCAAATCTCAATTACTTTCATTTATAACGAGATTGGCACCTCGTTCTCAATATACGACAGGCAGAGGATCTTCCGGAGTAGGTTTAACCGCTTCGGTTATGAAAGATCCTTTAACTGGTCAAATGATGCTCGAAGGAGGAGCTTTAGTATTATCCGATCAAGGGGTTTGTTGTATCGATGAATTTGATAAGATGGCAGATGCCGATCGAACTGCTATTCACGAAGTGATGGAGCAACAAACTATATCAATTGCCAAAGCAGGCATTACAACTCGTTTGAATGCAAGAGTTTCGATATTAGCCGCAGCAAATCCTGCTTATGGTAGATATAATCCTAAAAGAACAATTGAACAGAATATTCAGTTACCTGCTGCTTTATTATCACGATTTGATTTACTATGGTTAATTCAAGATCGAGCAGATCGTAATAACGACTTAAAGTTAGTGTTTATATAAATTTTACATAATTATAATTATAATAATTTTATTAATATATTTTTACAGAATGGCTCAACATATAACTTATGTTCATCAACATTGTATACAACCACCGATGCAATCGCAAGCTTTGGATATGAATTTAATGAGGAGATATATTACTTTATGTAAAACAAAACAGCCTGTTATTCCAGAAGAGTTGACCGATTACATAGTTGGTAAGAATTTCATCAACTTTTTCTAATTTTATTTTTTATTTTTTTTCTTTTTATATATAATATTTTTTTCTACATGTATAATTATATTTTCATACAATGATTATTTTCAGAATCTTATGTAGAAATGAGAAGAGCAGCTCGTAATGGTGAAGACAAAACTTTTACATCTGCGCGTAATTTATTAGCATTATTGCGTTTGTCGACTGCATTGGCACGTTTAAGATTATCAGATATCGTCGAAAAAGCGGATATCATTGAGGCAAATAGATTAATAGAAATGTCTAAGCATTCTATCAATTATTCCGAAAGATTACTAACAAATGTTCAACAGAATCCAATAAATCGAATTTTTCATCTTATTAGAGAATTAGCGGGTGATAAGAAAACTGTTAAAGTATCAGATATATTAGAACGATGTACTAATAAAGGATTTAAACCTGATGAAGTTAATGATTGTATTGAAGAATACGAAGCATTGAATGTGTGGCAAGTGAATCAGACAAGAACACAAATTACTTTTATCTAAATATTTCGTTTCTTGTAAATTAAATATGTTGAATGTATTATTTTTTATATTTTGATATGTAATTTCAAAAGTATTTTTCTATATTTTGATTTATTATTATAAATAAATTATATATTTTCTTTATTACAATACGATACATTGATATATTCGTAAATTTATTTAATTGTCTATTTTTGTATATTAATAATTTTGTTTTAAATTATAATGGAATTAACGCCAAAAAAGTTAATAGCCGGTGGCGACATATAATAGCATAGTGGCATCTTTGGAAAGCATCGAAAGTATCATTTGGGTAGGTAAGTAAGCAAGTATATATCTACTAGGTAGGCAACTAGTTCGGAATGGTTTGAAAGTTAGGTGGGAGAAGGTATAGGGTAGCGACGAATCGGAACGAGCGTAGTGGGAGAGTGTCAGTCGGTCGAATTGTGAATACGCGGTGCCGCTCTCGGCACTTCAGTCGCATCGAGCTACTCGTGGAACGCGTGTCGTGTTGTGCATGCATGCATGCTTGCGTGCGGTTAAACGTGCGTGCATGTGTGTGCTTATTATTGTGGTGTACCCGGAGTGGTCGCGTGTGCATGTGTGCGGGTCATAACACGGTGTTACGCGGTCTCGACAGTGCATGTCGTGATTACTATAGCCATCGTCTCGTCTGTCCGTCCATCGCGATCACGCCAAATGCACGTCTCGCGCTTCTCGAGATCTTGCAGTAACACCCGTGGTTGTTGCTGTGCCGTTTGACAGCGCGGCCGATTCGAAGAACGAAGAGGAAAGGGGAAGGAAGCCGCGTCTAGTCCCGCGGTTGATGACTCTTCGAACGATCGTACCGAATACGCGACGACGAAGGAGGAGAAAGAGGAATTGAATCGTCTCGTTGCTCGTGCTGCGTCTCTTTTTCTCTGTTCTTCTTGCGCTTCAGAGCACGATTTACGGAACTTACCACCAATCTTTTTCGCACAGTTTTCGCTCCCGGTTTCTCTTTCTTTCGCTTTTGCTTTTCTTTACCAATTCATCTCGCCGATTTGGCCATTTTGCCAAAATGAAAATAATTCAGAGGTATCGTCGTGCGATTCTGGCACCTGTATCGATCGTGATATTATTATGCGGTTGTACCGATCTCGTGTCATCTCGATCACCACGTTTTGCCGAACATCCAAAAAACGATACCGACTTCGTATCCGTTGACTGTGAACGTGTTAAGCCATTTTTCGAGAGCAAGAATATCACGATCTTGGTTGATAGGAAACAAGCTACAGCAGAAGACATCGCAAAAAGTAAGTGATTAGTTTTATCATTTTAATAATATTTTTCGATAATTTGCTTATATCAATTATGTTTGTAATTTATATTTTAATATCGAAACGAATCAAAAAAATCGAATTCAGAAAACTATTTTCATTTTGAATCAATCTTGCTGAACTTATAAGTCATATTTAATTTCTATTGGTCAACAATTTCGCAAATGAGTGAAACAGGTACTCTGCGATTCGTTGGAGGAAATGATCTAAAAGACTTGATTATAGTCGGTTGACTCTAATTACGAAGTTTTATTTAGTAGTCCTCGAAAAGTCGTTACATTAAATGACACTTAATGTTATTACATCAAATAACACTTGAGTACTTCTTGTAAAAACCTGTTTCAATTGTCGTGAGAGCGATAAATCTTACATCATAGATATCTTTTATGGTATGTTTCTTACCGACACAACCTGATAAATGATGTCCGTTTATAGAGAAACTTTTCGCGCGCTTATTTGCAATTTCTTTTAAAAGTTATTTCGATATTTATGTTATTCAAAAAACTTGATTGCATTCCTAAGCATAAATAAATTTTAAATACGTTTCAATGTTATAAAATTTATTACAACTTTCCTTTCTATATTTAAAAAATTATTTAATTGTTAAAGATTATGAAAATGATTGATTTTTTACACATATAAAATCATTCAGTATCAGATGATTGTCAATATATCATTAAATAATCATTATATCATTATTATATTAGTTGTTTAAGTTATTATTAGTTTACAATATAACTTATAAGTTAATAAGTAATTGAATTTTCGAGAAAAATAGAAAAAAAAAACAGAATTTCATTTGTTTCATGTTTTTTATATAATATTACGAGGATTTGATTAGATTTTTGTAATTTATTAAAAAATGCTTTTTATGAAATTTTTAATGTTAAATCGTTCCATGAATTTAATTGTGAAAATATAGAATATACTTACTTAACTCTATTAAATTTCGGTCAAGTTAAAAAATGTGTAGCTGTTAGTGAGATTTTTGGATATAATCCGCAATCACACGTAACGTGTTCAAGGTAAACCAAACCAATACCGCAATATGTGACGAGGTGGTTAAAGATTTCGTTTATTTATCTAGATTTTCTCAAATATTCTCGAGTAGTGCGGAAGTGGACATTAATTGTTAACGGTTAAATCGGCATTAGATAAGGACATGATTTATATTCGCATTGGTATACATAAATACTTAAATGATATTATCCGGAAAAACAATCGCGTGTCGATTCCCGATACGTTATGCTATGTTCTT